CCTTCTAATACATTCAAACGTTTCAATGATTGGGAGATCACGGGTAACCATGATATAGTGATTAAAGGACTCACTCATATTGTTCACCAAAACACCACTTAGTTCGCATCGGGAAATAAGCCCTTGCCCATTGATTTTCCGGAATGTTTAAATACCACTCAAATGTATTTTATTCTCATTCACTTTTGGATTACATTTCAATATTTCTTTCGTGGTTTTCTTGTGCTTGTTGATATTGTATGTTGAGGGTGCCTTCCAAAATAACCTCTTCAAGTCCAATCCTTCAAATCTCATCTTGAAGTTATTGTACATATAACGTAGACAAAAACAATGCTCAACATCTGGCGCCCGTTTTCCTAACGCCTTAATTAGACCTTTTCCTATTAGATAAGAATGACCACCTACCGTACTGAACTTCCCCAATGTCTTTGAATAACGAATTCAAGAACGAATCCCAACTGTCGAACTTTTCGACCTAAAAAATGTCATTGCTATCGAATAGATATTATTATTTCCGTCCATTTCCATTGCAGTTATGAGTTGTCCCTTATACAACCCTTTCAAGAAACAACCATCTAATCCAATAATTGTCCTACATGTCATTTTAAAATCATCATAAAGTGATTTTCAACAAACATACATCCTCTGCAGCACTGGATGAGTTAGCTCCCGATCTACTTTCAATACACAAAACTACCAGGGTTGTGTTTGCATATCTTCTCACAGTAATCATATAGTTTGTTGTACTACTCTTTAATATCACCCTTCAACATATCTATAGCATGCTACTTTACTTGATAAACTTTATGGATCTTTACATCCATTTCAACATCTTGTTGGATCTTCCTCTGTAAAGACTTCAGAGACTCTCCAAGATTGTCTTTCACGATATTCATAATTTTCTTACCCAAGTACCAATTGTAAAAATACTTTTATCCCAAAACAAAAATAATATACTTAAACAAGAACCATTAAATTAATATAAAAGTGCACAAAAATAATATCACTAACATAATAACATTATAACAGTCATAACATCATTACAATACAATTTACTAACACAAGTACACCTAGAACATCTTGTTTCATAATCAATACAGTAAGACAAATCCACTTAGAACAACTTGTTTGTCAAGGCTTTTTTTTTTTCTTTTTTAGTTTAATTAGAGAAGGCATCGATTTGGATCCATAATCTATCTATCTATTTATCTATTTGTATATGTATATATATACATCTAAGCTCATGTTTCCAATTAATAAAATAGTAGCACAAAAATAAATTAGCTCAACCCCGATGCATGATTGACTATGAAAACATTTTCTAAAGCCACTTAATGAATTACAACTTGACTACTTAAAGCTAATTTAATGCATACCTAATTTAATTGCAAGTTGTAAGATATACTAGCATTATTTATTAGTTACATAATAGTAGGTATATATATATATGTGTGTGTGAGAAAGTTCGGTGGCAAGCATTGATTTTTTACCTTAAAATTTAATGATGAACACCCAAGCACATAACATATATATATATATATTTATAAATTAATAACACAGAAAAGAACATAAATAATATAACTTACAAAATATGATTACAGCATCCATAACATCATTATAGTACCATTTACTAACATAGGATTAGATGGAATAATTTATGAAGACTAAAATGCATCCCTTTGAGTGTTTTAATTTGAAATGTATCACCCCTTATGATTGCTGATGTTCGAATATACCATTAACAATTTTTTTTTTTGCAAAGTAGCACTTGGAGCGTATTTTTCCGTCTTTGGGTACTTCAAGTCACAACCTTTGCAAACTGTCCAATCCTTTAATACATCCTTGAATTTTTGTCTTGATAGAAATTTCATGTAAATTTCTGAATTATGGTAGTCATTTTAAAGCTTTCATCCAATTCCTTATATCTGGGTTTAATATTTTCTTCTTTAGGTAGTAAAAAGAGCCTCCAAAACGACCTCACCTTCTGATGCATCATTGCTATACAATATAGAACATAGTTTCATCTCTTTTCCATTTACCTTATCTCCTACACAGGTATCATCGACAACACATTTCTCTTTTTTTTTTCATTTCCTTTCTTAAATCCCTCAAGTGCTTCAAAAAAAATTTCATTATATCTCGGTCATTTTCTGGCTTTTTAGCGAAAATATCATTGTTTGGTGGACCATCAAATTATCATACATTCATGATGGATCCTCAGAATCGCTCTCATTAGCTGTAGCCAATCCTCCAAATCCACCTACACCACCATCATCACCATCCAATCCCAACATTTCATCCTCATCATTATCACCTCTACCATTTAGCTTCTCATCGAAACTCTCAATTCCTCCATTGCTACTTGCCATTATAGAACGGGCAACAATTGTTTCCTCATCAGCAAAAGGCCCTACCCCAAATTCTATATCATCATCAGCCTCTTTTGCATCTTCCTGAACTATCCCTTAATCAATATTTGTTGTCTCGTGTGTGTTGTGATTTCCATACTAACCTCAACACACATTAGACGCCCTGAAACTTGAAGCATCATTAGTTTAATAACCATAGTTTTCAAAATCTTTAATTCTATCCAAATTCTCCCATACAACATCCCAAACCAAATCAGGATCAGGATCATGATGCCTCTCTGCATTAGAATCAAGTAAGTCTTCCAATTCTACAGTCCACCCTTCCTCATCTATTGATTCTACTATTTGTTCTTCATCAATCTCATATTCTACAATTGTGTCTTTCTAGGGTATAATGCAAAACTTTATTCGCACGTCTCAAGTATTTCTCTTCATTATCTAAAATCTTTATAGCTCCAGTGACAAATACTTGAATGGCAGATTCATTCTTATACAAATGTAGAAGATTAATATACACTGTTTTACCCTCCGAATTTCTACCCAGAAAACCGTAACAAAATTCTACATTGGTCCCCACTCCACTGTCCATCACATAAATTTACTAAAGTAAAATAATTAAATTTATCCCTATCGAGACCTTCAAACCTAACTTTTCTTCTTTCTATGTACTTTTTGAATGGATCCTAAACTAAGTATCCGTTGACCCACACGAACAAGTGAGGGAGTCTTCCATGTAGTCTCTGCAAAACACAACAAAATTATACTCCCTCCGTCCACCGTCAATTTATCCATTTTGCCATTTTAGTCTGTCCATCGCAAATGTATCAATTTCTTTTTTTTAGTAAATGTACCTTCCACTAAAATATAAAATTACCCAATCCTTTATATAATATTACACAAATGCAAATAACACCACTTAATACCATAAATGTTAAGGGGTATAATAGTCTTTATGTATCAATCAATTGTACCACATATCAATATAATACCAATATACTAAAATCTACGTGCAAAAAGTAAACGGATAGATAGGCGGTGGACGGAAATAGTAACATACTCTAACAAAAAATAGTATATTTACCATACCCCACCAAAATCAAACAATTATGAAACATGATCCCTACTTCCAAACGGATGTTGCGACTAAAAATAAAACAAATTGCAAACAAAATTTTCAACCCGAAAAGGATGCTTCAATATTTATTCAAAAATGACATCGGGTAAAGTTTTTTTTAGGATTTCTAGTAATGAAGAAACAACAATTTCGAAAAAAAAAAAACCCAACAAAATAATAGAAGTTTGTCACTGCAACCCCTCCACGTCTTCCGACAAAAAGAACTAAGATCAACCACCAGAGACCGTGAGAACAATAATCGAAAATAAAATTTAGCGGCAAAGGAGAATGGGGAATAAAAAATCATAGTCGTTTTGCTACATTGAGCGGGAGAAGAAAATAATGAATCGAACCTTTCGTTAATCGAATATGGATGTAAAATTTTTATGGGCATTTGGTGAAAGTTTTATTTCATTTATTTAATAAAAAAAATTATTAATGAGTTTAAAAACAAAGGGCATAACGGCCACGTTAAAAAATAAATTAACTCCGTTAGCAACTATGGAGTCTTTGCAATATATTTGTAATACATGGGGGTTCTAATATGATTTTTTTAACATTGAGAATTTCATGCAAATTTATTAAAAAACAAGTATGGTATATGCAATTTACCCTTATACATATCCATCAAAGTACCACTGTTAACCAACGATATAGATTAAACAACTTAAACAAAGAGAATTAGGGAGTGCAGATGTAGCCGTAGGAATTAATAATAATAATAATAATAATAATAATAATAATAATAACAATAACAACGCAAAATAGCATAAAGCTTTCCTGTAATTTTTTGAATTTTCTAAAAATCCGTCATTGTCCTAAAATTTCATATTACCTACTCTTTGTTTCCAAAATATTGCAAAAAACCTCATTCCATTAGGACTTAACACCGGATGTATCTCATGCGCCCCAACTGCGACTTTCAGTACAAAATTTGATATATTTGTTAGGTGAAGTTATTAAAATACCCTACATGTTTAATTATATACAATCTATTCTCTCCCTCCACAAATTCCAACCTATAGTCGAATAAACGGGTCCAACACCACCGAAATCGGCGCTCTCCCCCACCATCACAGTCCTTAACTGTTATGCTTGTTCCAGTAAGTTGGTTTCGCACACTGCATCACCTATTTGTTTTGATTTTGTCCTTTTTTTGTCGCTATTTTTTTTCAAAATTCCTATGTTGTTCAAATCGGGGAATTGATTCTTCATTACTCCTCTTTTTCCGCAACTGGTAATTCGGTGATAGTTCGGTGTGAAATAAATTTCGGTGAGGATCTATTTTGGACAATTTTGCTTCGGTTTGTGGGTTGTATGAATTCTTTGGGTGCTTTTTTGCAATGGTTAGTTGCTTTTGGTAACTAAGTGTCAAGAAAATATTTATGTAGGTTGAAATAAATTTGAGAAATTTTGAATCGTAATTATGTTTTACCAAGGCCATTTTGCTTTTTTTGTTCAAACAGGTTGGGTTCTTTTGAATTTATTTTTGAGTTTGCAGGCAATTTTATGGTAACGAGGGGTTTCATCCATCGGAGAATCTTCGTCAGGCGAATCCACCACGCCCTCAATCATAAACAAAGTATATAAGCTAACATTCCCCTCCATATCCTCGCTCCCTTACTCTTTGTTATTGGAGTCTTACTCTGAATTGTCACTTTCTACAGCATCCTCTCATTGGCCCCTCGATAAATCCGCACATCTTCTCAATATTCATCGGTATCGATGTTATGATTGTCATCCTCATCACACTCATCTACACAGTAAACGAATTTATCAACAATGTAGTTATGAAGATAATAAGTAAATTTTTTCATTTCTCAAAGCTTGATTTTTTTCATATAAAATTGTGAGTTGATACGTATATAACAACAAGAAAACTAGAAAAGAAGTCAAAAATGGTAGCAGGTCTTACCAACAGGACTAACATGATCCGCATCGCGCCAAGTATAAACTCTCGTTCCTGCACAGTAAAAGAATTTATCAATAACGTAGTTATGAAGATAAGAAGTAATTTGTTTCATTTCTCAAAGCTTGATTGTCTTTTCATATAAAATTGTGAACGTAAACGTATATAACAAGAAAACTAGAAAAAAAAAAAAAGTCAAAAATGGTGGTCTTACCAACGGGACTAACACGCTTCGCATCGCATCAAGTATAAACTCCTATTTCTTCACTATAATCAATCCACGCCGGTACGTCAACACCCACGTACTCGAAACCCCTATACGTATCATCGTCCCCATGGCTCTCCTCATCGTCACCACCACTCTTCTCGTCCGTTTGTGACCGTGCAATACATTTTCCTTTTCGATCCGTTTGTTTCTTGCGCGGATCAAATTCACCAGTTAAGTCCTCAACTCCTTCGATTTGAAAATCGTCATTCTTAACCCCGAAGACATCATTCATGACCATTGCATCGTCATCTTTATCATCTACACTAGTGCCACCACCACCATCCCATCGTCCTTGTCATCCTCATCATCACTACCATCCTCATCGTCCTTATCATCACCACCATCCTCACCGTCTTCGTCCTCCTCGACAGCCGCGTAAACCAACCTGCTACTTTTCTATACTTCGTCATGCCATTCAAGAAATTGTACACCCGTTTTCGGCTTTCCTATGAGACATCCGTACTCATTGTATATCATCATTGGCACAGCTTTGTCATCAGCATATACGGATTTTACATCCTTGCTGTAACGAATTTTGAACATTTTCAAAACATCTTTATCACATCTAATTGTATAAATTAGACCCCGAAGATTCGCACCATAGTTGTTAATGGGGTTCCAATGTGTGGGCTCTATAACCCCTGCCCTTCCACCGATGCGTGTATACATATTTAAGAGAGCACCATAATAAATCTGATCCTTCTCTATACCTGGAAACCAAACAGGCCTGCTATCCTAACGACGACATGAGCCCTCACACTCAGTATACCCATTGATCCATATATAAATAGTCACTTGATTATTCATTATTGGGGGGACCACTATCCAACTGTGCAAGAAATTTGTGGCCGACAAAAGAGTCAAATTTTAGAACGAATCAAATTCCATCAAAATTAGTAAATCTTTTTCAAAGATACGACAAAAAATGCAAAATAAATAAATAAAAAAAAGATAATCTGACCCAAAAAGACAAAATTACAAATGTTTTCAAGAAAAGAACGCAGTTGTGCTTAACATGTGGCCGATCACATGTCATCACTCATATAACCAAAATTAAACTGTCCCGTAAAGAATGATCTGGTGATATGAAAATGAAATCGTGATCATGAGGTAACAGATTCAAATTCCAATGCCTCCATATCTTGTCTTACATTGCAAAGGGCAAATATTTAACGTTACTGCCATTTGGAAAGGAGAGAATATGCAACATTTTAAAAAATTATTAGTAGATAATATAAAATTTTAACACCAGATGAATTTTTTAGCAAATTCAAAAAACTATGAAGAAGAAATTTATTTTATTTTGTCTAATAATAATAATAATAATAATAATAATAATATAGTAGTATTTTTTATAATTAATGTTGCATAGACAGTGGAGAGCCTGTCTGCCTATCACTAACTAATGCACGGTTCCTTAACATGAAATCTTAGCTTTCCAATTGAGGTGTTACAATAATGAATGTATCCAAAATCAAACTTGAAATCAATCAATCTCAAAAGCTAACTAAAAAAAAAATAAATGTATCCAAAATCGATATATCTCGTTATTAATCTCCCACGCCTACAAACAACTACAGCTACCATTACCATATATGATTCAGGCACATGTGTTACTCTCATCTCCAGGGCTATCGTATTATAGAATTAGTCCAAAATCTACAAAACCAAACAACAATTAATATATGTCGTATATATGCATTGCATATACCTTACACCATTTTGCCACTCGGGTAGGGTAGGATAGGGTAGGGTGAGTAGGTACCACAGCATTTCTTACAAATAGCAACACTCTTCTTCTTGTATGCCCCCTTAGATGATCATGTTAGATCCATTTATCTATCTATCTTACACCAACACCAAACGTTTGTTTCTTCTCTATACGCATATGCATCATCCTTCCCCGGTAATTAAGGATTTCAGAATATTGATTTGATTTCAACTTCATTATAGCTGACCTGATGATACACGCGGCTTTCCCTTTCCTGAATTCAGGTATTGAGACACAAACAACACCCCCATCACCACAATGAGGCAACCCACAAGCGTGCTGAAGAATAAGGCACCTGGTTGCCTCGTCTGAACAAAACCATAGACTCCATTGGAAGTGACAAGAATGAGATCTGTCAATCCATCATTTGAGAAATCGTCAGTCACCAAAGCATGTGAAGGGGGTGCAGGAAGCTCCACAGTTGCTAGAGTACTTCCGCCGGGAGACAACACAGCAGCTTCTTGATCTCCTGCTGCAAGAATCATTAGTTGGGGATCGTGTTGGCGCAACGGAAATGCCTTCAGCGTGGGGACAACATTGGACTCCACCATTCCGGAAGGTGAGGGAAGGTTAGACCATGTAGCTCCAGTTAACTGCTGCCAATTCCAGACAGCATCGTGCCCATGCAAGCCGGGAGAATAAGATGTTACCTGAAAATACACACTCCACACTTTATTCGTGGATTCCAAATCTGCATTTTATATAGTCACACTGCAAGATAAATTCAAATTCGGTATTCAACAGCAATGGAGCTCAAGAACAATAGGTAGGAACACTTCAAGCTCATCAATTGTATGGAATGGAGTACCATTTTCGGAAGTTTAATCAAGTGTTTTTATTCGGTGTTTTCTGAATATGCATTTGGATCGAATCCTATAACTTGATGGATGTATGAATCTGACAGGCCTAATAGAGATGGTAGTTTGCAAAAAGAAACTGACAACCTAATTTGCTCTCAATTTAATAATGAATTTGAAAGTACCAATATACCAAATTAGAAAGGTAGCACAACTGTATGGAAGATTTCTAACACATTTATAATATATATATATATTACATATATTTTGGATTATATAAAATATCAAACACTTCAATTCCCCTTCCGGAAAAAAGAAAAGACTTTTAGAAGTCAACCTGTAGAGTTAACTCAAACTCCATTTAAGAAAAAACCATGGCAGGATGAGCATTTCTATCCTAAGATTGAATGACGCATAAGAGAAGAAACAACCAGCATACCTCTCCACGATTTGTTAGGAAGATAACATCCCCATGACTTCCCTTCCTATGCCTATGACCGTCATTTCTTGGTATAAGAATTGGTGTTGCAACCTCCAACGAGCTCACATCTGCATGTCTACCAAAGCTTCTCGAGAACTCTCCATGCTGGAATAAATTGAACGGTGCATGATGACATATGGAAGCATTAAAAAGCTGTTCTCGAACTGGGACACCAGATGTTGCAATAGCCCAACAGGGACGCAAGATTTCCATGGATCCACTCACAACACTCTGTTCAGCACCATTTGCTCCAACAGCCTTTAGAAAGATTAAGGCAATGCTATCATCAGTAAACTAAAGAAATTCCGTGTTACTTGACTCGAATCCTCTAGGGTCGATTAAAAAAGCCCTGCCAATTATTTTATGATTGCATGCAACACAGCTGGCTAGCCTTAATGATAGCTTAATCTGAACACGTTAAAACCATAGGATTAGGATTTTTACAGCAAAGAAGGTTATGTATACGAAAAACTGCTAAATAGAATTGACCAAGTAATTAGTTGGTTCTTGAGCATTGGGTGTGTACAACGACCTACAAAATAAGGCGTATGCTTCTTATAGCCTTTTTCAGTCTCGTACTATTCTGCAGTGTTTTTTCTTCCAAAATTATCAAATTAAACACCTATTTTTCAATTAAAATATTACACAAATCATCAATCTTTCGTTCAAAACATCACATCGAACACTACCCAAATCCAAACATTACAGAAACACACCCTGAACACCACAGTTCCTACTGAGGAAAATCATATGTCAACCAGCAAACACCTTCCAAACTACCTAATCTGCATCTTCCTAAAAATCATATCCTCACAACTGAATATAACACAGCCTCACCTAAAATTATGGAAGAGTTTGATAGAGAAATCACATATTAAGGAGTGCAAAATACTAAGAATTAGAAAAGCAAACTACGAAGCATAGCTGTTAATGGTGTATAGAACATTTCTATGTTGGTACTAAATATATTTGACCGTCAAGAAAGCATCCTCAACTTGATCAAGAGATTTTCATCCTAAAATCAATTAGTCCAACACTTTAAAACGTCACATATAAAACTTATTTTCAATTCAAATCATCGTATCCATACTTATTTTCCATTTGAAACATCACTTCCAAAACTCATTTTCCATTAAAAATTTTCCAAATTCAAAACAACCAAATGCACCCTAAAAAACACTTAAAACACAAACAAATATACCCTTAGCTTGTTCTAATCTGTAGAGTGACATGATCTATAGGAGAAAAAGAACTCATATGACAGACACTAGAAAAACCTTAGAACAATAGAACTCAAGTCTCACCTGGACATGATCGAGAACACCATCTCCATTAATATCAGCATGAAGACCACCTTCTTGTAAATGTAGCTGGATAAGTATTGAAAGAAAGATTAAACAAAATGTTGTTCACTTTGATATGAAAAATTGCCAGGCAAACATATTTGAAACAAGTAAGTCATATTATAAAAAAGTGCAAAGTGTTTTAAAGTTTAGTTTTCATATGGTTACTAGCATGAACTCCTTCTGAAAGCAGCTTTATAGAATGATATAGTACAAAACTTACATTGCTTCAAGACTGCTTCAGATGCAAGCTAAGAGGCAGAAAGTTTGATGTTAAGATGGGAGAAATTGTGTTATGGCAATATCATCGCTCTTGCTATTGAGTGAACGTTACAAAAATAAAAAAAAATAAAAAGGAAACATGACCAGAAATATAATTTCCAAGGTTTCAATACTTTTTTCAATCTTCTGAACATGAAGAATCAAACCTTCATTTCTGATTTTACCTTGCAAAGAGTGCGCCCGGATGCCAAATGAACTGCTTCAATCCCTTCTTTCTCATGAGCAACAACAACATTAGGCACCCACCAGAGCTGAGTGTAATTTGTTATGGTAGGTATATACTGGACATGCTATTCAATAAAACAAATAAACTCATAAGTGAAGAATGAAATAAGCATCACCGGAAAAGCCAAATGAAAATATCAGAATGGTTAACAAATTACACAGATTTCAACCTGCTCAATCAGATTGCAGGATGATAAATGTGGACAAACAGAACTCATCAATTCAGTAATAGAAAAGCTGCAAATTACTACACATCCATCTCAAATTCACAGAAAATATGTATAAATATGCATATCGTCTATATGGAAGAGAAAGTCAATAATTATGGACCAAGACACTTTTCTTTGAAAAGAGTTCATTGTGTCATGAAATGATATCTAAAAGGAATGTTATCATCATATCCATCATGTTTCATAGAGATTCACTCTTAAGAGCCAAAAAGATATAGAGTGAATAAACAGACTTTCCAAATTATATCTCATTTACAAAAGTGTTGGATATATCACCTTCTTTGTCTTTGAAGATTTAGCAATATTAACTGCCTTGTCAATGACATTTGATACTTTCTTTGTTACATCCTTTCCAGGAGAATGCTTTTCTTCAGGTTTGTGAAAAGGATAGGTGACAGACTTTCCAGGTATTTTCTTCAGTGCTTTCCTCTTGTGACGCCTGAAATGCGCCAACTTCAGCAAAGTGTCCTCCCGACGATCCTGATACATCAAAATCACAAGTAGGCTTCAAATCTACTGTCAAATTTTACAACAGGAAGAGAGATTTGTCGCACACTCTTACCCAGTAGTGAGGCATGACTCCAAGAATGGATTCTCTGAACTCCCTGCACTCAAACTAATGCAGGAAACATTTAAAAGAGCTCAGGATAAATTATAATATTATAGTTCAAAAGTTGAGAAATGCAAATGTTTTGTTAATAAAATGCCTACAATGATAAAGGTAAAATAATGCACAATTAGAGGTGTGTTTACTTGTTATTTCCATCACAATTGCTTGCTATTCTATATACCAATTTCCCTCCAAAAACAGCACATCGGACACCATTTTTTCAGTAAACTTCACATAAAACTATTTCACCTCAAAATATGTCACAAAAAAAAAAAAAAAAAAAAAAATTCCAGGTAGACACACCCTTGATCTTACATGTTTTCAAATTCAAACAAGATAATTATTGGAAAAAGGAACAATCTCAGTTCTTTATATGGTTAAAACAAAATAAAATAAAAAAACAACAGTAAAATCTCATTTTGACCATCACAACAAAATGTAAGACTTAGTTGAAAAAGTAAGTTTGTGTTCAATTACCTTTCAGAGGCAGCAAACATAATGCCAACATTTTCTGTGTAAAATATTTTTTTTGCAATGTACAAGGCATTGTGTATATTTGGTTTGATTTGTTGCCTTTTTTATGTATAAAAATAAACCCACATTACTAATTGCAAGAACAAAAAGAAGATAGAACCTCGGATATCAGGACCAGATATAACGTAATTATTGCTTGTTAATGTGAATCAATCAATTTCAGTTCTCTGAATTGAATGCAAACACAATATAAAACATAAATGACCATAGCAAAAACTCCCCAACGTAGAAGATATAAATCACATGTTCCAAGCTTGTCATATCCATGCTTGATAGTTGATAAAAGGAAGAAGAAGGGGAACTCTAAGATTTTGCAAGAATATTAGGAAACTGATCATTGGAAGATACATAGCTAGTAATAACAGACCCAGTAACACCTCAGATGAAGTAACACAGTCTTGATAAATTTTGTCCGCTCATGAAACCCCAAATTAGAGGTAACACGTATTGCAGCTAGATAAGTAATAAATAATTTCATCTCAGAGATACTAACAAGATATAGTTCTGAAAATAACTACTCAATCCAAATCAGTTCACAGGTTACTAAAGCCATAGCTCGATACTCAGCGTCAGCACTAGATTTAACAATACTGTTTGCTTCTTATTCTTGCATTAAATAAAATTAATACCAACAAAAATGAAATATTGGACACAGAACACCTGTAAAATGGTGATCCTGCCATTGAGCATCACATATTCATCAATTTTGGGTGTAGCCTTGATTCATATACAATATTCTTTGAATATGGGTGCGTTTGGTTGCAAGTTAAGACTTGTAGGTGGAAGTTCAGTTTACTTTTGAGTAACAAGATGTTCTTTGGCTGTAATTTAGTTTTGATGTAACATATATTCCATTAAAAATAACTTTAAAATATGTTGTGAATATTTTAAAAACTATACTTCCACAAAACATATTCAATATGAATATGATAGAAAGCAAAATCGAAAAGCATATGAAGTTAAGATTAAAGAGAAAGTGGAGTCTCGGCCGATGCTTATGTATTGACGACGGAGATGGGCTTAGACCTGTTGTTCGCAGATTTAGATTTTATTTTCTCTTTTTTTCTATTAGTTGGCCTTGCCCTTTAGTTATTGAATTGACTTATTTTATTTTTAGTAAGTAGGGTTTAGGTAATAGTATTTACGGACTAATTAGGATTGAAGACTATCATTCTGGAATTTTAGAAATAAAGTAGCCGTCAGGCTTTGGACAAACGGTTGGTACCGTTCAATTGTTTTTGAATAAATGATTGATATCGTATGATTTTTCTTATCCTTTGTTTCGTTTCTATTGATTTGACCTTCCGGGGCTAACTCCGTCGTCATAGCAACAACACGATCAACAACGGAATGACTGGACAAAACTTGAGACTAATCAAGCCAAGATGAAGAACATAAAGGCCGCTAACATCCAAGTGGTTGAGATCATGGTGACTCTCACTGAATTCTCGAAAGTGATTTTAAAACCCTTTGGATTGCAACAATCGGTGATAGCCACTATGTGGAGGATAGCACCACGACGGAGGGTGGCATGCTTCCGAAGATCTCCCAACAGTTTCAATATTATGTGCCTACGGGGCATGAAGATTGGATGGGAGAGCCAGTAGATGCACCGATAGAAGAGGGGACCTTAGCATTTTTCTTTGTAAAGGGCTTCCTGAGTCAACGGACTATGTGGTCGCATGGAGTGGAACTGTGTGCAGAAAGAAGGTAACAATATTAATCGATAATGGCGCTAGTCACAATCTTATATCTTCTTTCTTAGTATCCACTTCACGATTATCATCCGATCGTACAAAAAAATTTTTAGTTCAGTTAATGGATGGACAAAGATGGGAATCCGAAGGATTATGCCATGATGTTACGGTCTCATTAGAGGGTTGTGTGGTAACAACCAATTGTTTTGTGTTTCCCTTTGAAGGTGTTATTTTCGGTATAGCTTGGCAAGCCACGTTGGACGATGTTCAAACAAATTGGGAACTCTCACTATGTCCTTTGAATGGAAGTGCAGCAAAATAGTGTTGACGGGTGATTAAACCCTAACCCAAAAGATGTTGGATCAGGCCCGTGAGGGAGGAAAACAAGAGGAAGATCAAAACTAATTTCAGTTCTCATACTTCGACCTTGGGGACAAGGTTAATTCGAAAATGGATGAAATTGATAGAAAGCAAAATCGAAAAGTGTATGAAGTTAAGATTAAAAAGAAAGTGGAGTCTCGACCGATGCTTGTGTATCGACAATGGGGATGGATAAGCCTATTCTTTGCGGGTTTAGATTTTATTTACTTTTTTTATTATTATTATACTATATTTTGAGTTGGGCATGCCTTTTAGTTATTGGGTAGACTTACTTTATTTTTAGTAAGTATGGTTTAGGTAATACTCCCTCCGTACCGGCTACGGTATCCTTTTTACTAGTAAACGCGAGAATTTAAGAGTGGTATAGTTAGTAAATAATTAAGAATATATTAGTGAAAATAATTATTGTATAATAAAATTGACTTTAGATTAAAATTAAAATAACTAATTAGTCTAATTAAAATTAAAAAAATTTAAAATGAGATTACAGTGTGTAATTTTTTTCCAAAAAAGAAAATGACGGAACAAGTGGGATAGACGAAAATGAAAAGATGGACACAGTAAGTGGTACGGAATGAGTAGTATTTAGGGTTGAAGATTATCATTATAGAATTTTGGAAACAAAGTAACCGTCAGGCTTTGAGCAAACGGTTTGTAACGTTGATTGCTTTTGGGCAAACGCTTTATACCATTTTATTTTGCTTATGCTTTATTTCATTTCTATCATAATATCATTTTATACAAAATAAAATTTTATATAATATAAACAAATAAAAAATTATATATATTTGTAGATAATTTACATAAATTAGTTGATAGAAGATAGAGAATTGATTTATATAAATATATGTTTATTTAGGAGAGAGGTAGAAATAGTAAATTGCAAGTGGATCCCACCTTAAAAATTTTGGGCAAATAGTTGACATAAAAAAAAAAGTTGGGAGTACAAATGTCTGCTCTAACTTGTAATCAAACAAACCCAAGCTTGCGAAAGGCATCCTAAAGAGGAGTAAATGGAGACACAAAAATTAACTAATGCTAACAACATAGAAGATCTCCGGACAAGAGATAGTTACATAAATAATTTCTCATCTGACTTGCAAGAAAGGTTTCTCTAGAGGTAGAGGTAGTAGGGAACTTTTTTTCCTAGAAAATCTAGGAACACAAGACTAAATTAGAAATATTGAATAATTCTTTTAAAGTCAAAACATATAAAATTCTAAAGAAAAGCAAAGGGTTATGATTTTCTAGATGTGGCGGAAAAATGCCTTTGTTGCCTATCTTGTTGAGACCTGTAGATTTTTTTATAGTTTCGAAACAAGGCAAGAAAGCTTTGGGCTAAGACAAGGGCAACTAACACGAGCTCTGGTTCATTCCTCAAGTTTCACAGAGGCTATACAAGATTTAGGGAGGCAAGCTGAACAGTACCAACCGAAACCTATACCCATACGTGGTATAGTAGTTAACCTTTCTGGAAACTCACTACACCCCTTGAGTCAAATTTAAAAAAAAAAAAAAATTAAGTAAAGAAAAGATTGAGTCAGAGGTCCGGGCCTATCCCTTTCTGGGTGGCCCAACATTTTAGAGATAGATAGTTCTCTCATTGTCGTTCTCCTTCCAAAAAAACAGTACTAGGGAAGAAAGTCTATGTCTATGACTAACTACCAAATACTTTTGCATTCAATGCAACCATTTCATCCATTGATGCTACATATTCAGTTCCAGTGGCAAGCGCTCACATAAATTTTAGCATTTTTTAAGGATCTTTGTGAATTAAATTGGTATGAGAAAAGTGCCCATCCCATGTAGCATTTAGCATTTCTCCTTGGAATGCCTCACCAATTACAATGATATATCACCCAAAATAGTTTGATGAGGATCTAAGATATCTTACAACTAATAATATCAAGCTAGGGTTGTCACCATGCATACTAGAACCTCGAGACGATAGACAAAACATAAAAGGCATGACATAACTAACAACATATGTGAGAAGACCAGAAAAGTTAAGCTAGATACGATCAAATAACGAATACTGTAATTCAAGCCAAAATATAGCAAGAATATAAATCATTAAAAAGATTTCATATTGTTTAAGCATGCCACTAGTTTAATTCCAAAGTGTAGGGATAATATTAAACTTAGACTTAATTGATGACATTTTTCAAAAAATTAACATTGACAAATCACCCTAGCAAAGGTGCAACAAAGTCAAAACCACGAGCAGGGGTGGCACGGTAAAGTATACCAAAAACTTTACATTACACTGTATACTGTATTGAAATACCGGTATGAAAAACTATCATACCGATATTGTATCGAACCATTCGGTTACACTATAAAAATTTTCATATTGATATTGTACCAATTTTTTGGCATATCATACCAATCTTCTAGCATATCGATATATCGTATCCCATAGCAAAAGCTAATATATTAAATTAACAATATATAGGGAAACGCCTAATACACCATCATTATGGGTTTACTCTCGTAGATCTAAGATGGATCTAATTTTGGGTGGTGTGACTTAATTTTGGGAGTCACTTGGTTGGAGACATTAAGAGATGTCCAAATTAATTGGAAAACTATGACTACAATTTTTGTGAGGATCGGAGAAGAAGTGAGCTTAGAACGTGACAAGTATTTGTCACGGAGTCGAGTGGATTTCACGCCCTCATACGCGTTATGGAAGTAGAATATTCAGCTATGGTTGTTGATTCGACTAGTTTGATAAGTATAGCTCCCCACCACAACCGTTCGACAGATCATTGGATTGTTTTACACCCTTCATCGGGCCCTATTTTCGTACGACCGTACTGCAATGGGAAAACACAAAAAGATGAGATCAAGAAGCTAATGGCTGACATGTTCTTGGTTGGGGTGATTCGCCAAGGTTCTAGTCCTAACTCCAGCCCTATGCTGTTGTTGAAAAAGAAAGATTGAGTTCGTGTTTTCTGCGTTGGCTATTGGGAACTTAACAAGGCAATCATTACGAACAAATACCCTACACCGACAATTTGTTACCATCAGGTACGAGTCTATGAGCCGGATGTGTTAAAGACAGCATTTCAAACCCAAGAACCTAATTATTTAGGTGCAAATAAACTAAACACTTTGACCAACAAGAATAACATCACTTGTCCCAAGCATTTTTAAAGTTCAAGTAAAGATCTCACACTACCCTTTTCAAGGGCCACATCAATGTTATCCACCTTTATCCTTTAGACAGTAAAATACATAAATGATAAGAAAAAAAAAAAGCGTGTAGCATTTCAATAAACTCATCAGCATACCTCTCCTGGATGACGGGTGTTTAAAGCATGAACATCAAGCTTGTAATTGTGTTGCGGAATCAACTGTGATGCATCAGAAGATTGAGCCTCAATGTTCTGCAAGATTAAATAATGGAATTCATCTTTGGGAAAAAAATGCACATCAAGAACAACCAAGATGGAAATCAAAAGCTACTTCATGAGGAAATATAATATACAATACAGACCAAGGATATAATTATGTTTCCCAACACATTCATCTAAAAAGTGAAGTGGTTTCTTTTTATAATTCCAAGCATCCACCATCGAAGTTTTACAGTTTCTGCAACAGGAAAATTACCAATAGGTGTTTGTATGCAAGTGGATAAGACATCTTCTAAACAAAGAACATTACTGAAATATTTCCCTAGCTCAGAGTGAGATGTGCCGATATTTTAGAACAGTAGTATCCTTTCAATTATTTTATAATCAAGTTCAGATATTTATGTATTTTTCATGGAATATTTACTTGGGTAATTTTTGGTGTTACACAAGTTTCCATATACAGGTAGAAGAAATTTTTCCCAATGAAAAAGTACAAATAACCTCCTTTTTCCGGCTCCACCGCAGTTCACCACTTCGACCAGCAAATGCATATAAAGCGAAGTGTCGTAAATCTACTGTTCCTGAACTATCAGCATCCTGAAAGGATCACAAATAACTATTCATATGGAATTGGAGATTAAAAAGAAAAAAAGAAAATTATAAACAATATGATATGCAAATTAAAACATAATAATAATAATAATAATAATAATAATAATAATAATAATAATGCAACTACAAAAGCTGGATACATTCAAACAACTATAAGAAAAATGATCTTCTCATGAATTTCAGGCAGTAATAACCAACATACATATATATACATATATATTAATAGAATACCATAAGCCTTGAATTAATATCAAAATGAAACCACCTATAACACACAAATAATATGTGATTAAGCAGTTACACTGCTGTGCCTCGCTAAAACCAGTATATCAACAGACTAATACAGCTTATTTCACATATACATCTTCCATTCAACAAGCAGGAGTCATCTCAATCATTTTTAGTTGAGTTTTATCATACAGTTTGTGCACGATACCCGGAATAATCTTGCTCACTAGTTTATACTACAATTGTTATGCAACACCAGGCACACTGCAATCTGAATTGATTAGTATAAGATAACAATGGCCAACAAGACCAAAACTCCCTTTCAAAAGATAAAACAATGTAAAGGCCATAAAGAAAAAGGAATCTTAAATGCTAGTCAAAAAACTGATCGTCAAATCAACTTAAAATTAAACCTACATGAAACATAATAATGGCAACATAAAGAAGAAAATTGTTCATACATCCTTTTCAGTGGCACTTCTTCTATGATCCTCAGCATTTTTTTCAGCCATCTCCATCTCCTCAAAAGGATCTACATGCATCTTTAAGAAGAAGAGAAAAAACAAACAAACAAATAAATAAATAGATAAAAAACTCCGATCAAATGGAACAAACATGCATGAAGGCAAGCGCACACAAAACATTGGCCAAATAACACTATATGATTTGAAATAATTCAGCATCCTAAATATGAGCATACAAGTGAGCACAAAGTAGCAAGAAGCTATTTCAATCAAAAAAGAAAAAATTTAGCAGAAAAAGAATACCCATAGAATTTGCAGCCGACAGCAGACATAACCAAGCTGATTTAGCAGTACTACGTTCTATTGTTTTAAGAATTAAATCCAAGAGAACAGAAAGAATTTGATGATGAAAAGATACAGTGGCCCTAAGGAATATATACTCATATGGTTCTCTGTAAAATAGAGATAAAATAACAAACTACACAGAATCATTATATGCGCACTTGTCTCTATAAAACAATTAAGTTGTAATTGCAGAAACACAGATAAAAAAAAAAAGCCTCCTAAACTTTCATTGACAAGTAATATGTGGTAGAAATCCACAAAGAAAAAGGGTAAATTTGATTTACTTTCTATATGTGACTGAAAAAAGTGAAGCAACATACATGGGGCTGCATCTCCATTCTTCCACCCACGATTACCAAGCCTGAATCTCCATGTCTCAATGTATAGTTACTGATAGAGATTGCAACCTCCCTATGATGAGCATTATGGGGAAATTCTTTCTGTTAACCAGTAAGAAACAAATTAGTAGAAAGAAGTATTATGAACCTGGCTTAATAGCATAAACATCTAACAGAAACAAAAACTATTATAGAGCATCAAAGCAGGCTAGAGTATGGCGTACACCTGAAGATTCACTTCCCAGAGCTTATTTTTGTTGTGATCAAAGCACATGACAGACCATCCTGATGTCACAACAACTAAGACCTGCTTTTGAGGTTCCCTTTTATTGTAATGCTTGTCAATAAATCCAGTTGCCATTGCTACTGCACGCCTCCCTGTGGCTATACGGAGTTTGTCAGGCAAAAGAGAGACCTCTGCCAGCACACGTGCTTCACTAAACCCTCCATCGACACGCCTCACATGAGGTTCTAAAACCTTAATAACAAAAGCAGCATTCAAGTTTATAGAGGAAGAAAGCTAAGTTTGATGGACAAGCTGCAAGCAAAACAGCGTGATGATTAACCAGAAAATGCAGGTAATTTGACAGTAAGAAGCATTAGATGGAGCTGTTTTGCAAGTTCTACCATGACAGAATTTATCGCCAAACATGGGCAGCAGTTGGGTGATTTCTATATATTATTATTTATTAGAGGTTTGAACAATATGATGCTTGCCATTCGGAGTTCAGGAGAAATCAATAATCACCCTATGTCAGGGTCCAAAAAATGAGATGTAAACATCCAGAACCTGGCTGGCATTTCAAGTATTGCTATAACTCTCCTCATGCAGACATCAAATAGAATACAGACACAAGCATAACACTCAACCAACAAAGATGGAACCGATTGGGATATGTTTCAATTCAAATGTAAGAAATTACTCAGAACCTGAATTTTTGCATCATGAGTAGCCACGAGAACCTCTTTCTTCCCATCGCCATTCAAATCGGCCACGATTGGTGGCGGGAGCCGTTCAGCCTCATACTTAATCGGATACTCATCAGAAAGATGGAACCAAGCCTCTTTGAACGAAAAGTCACCTTCGTGCTACATTTCATTTATCAACAGTTAATCGGCCATACCCATCGCATGCGCTCAAACAGAAAAGAAGCACAGATCAACTCATTCAAACATGTTTAAAAATAAAAATAAATCTGCCTCTAGGGCTTTTTGCAGGGTTGTACGAACTTCTCACAGTCACATACATACCTGTAGAGAGAAGAAAATGGCGAAAGCCGAGAGCATCAAAATTGCTAAATCTCGCTTCCTCATCTCCAAGAAGTAAATATTTTTTGCTAAATAACAACTGATAGATTTATTGCAGAGTTGAAATCCTATTCGGCTCGCCTCTTCCTACTATCTACTCGATCGATCGTTCGAGGGAGCGTTCTTCTGCGGTCAAACGTATCGAGTGCCGATACGGAAACCCGATTTGATATCGCTATTACTCGTATATTTTCCTTGTAATCCTTCAACTATCATTAAATTTCAAATGCATCAGCTGTTCCACGCCTGTCTGTATCTATTACATCCCTCTTAGCATAACTACTATTGTCTTTTTACCACGGAGTCTGTCTTATTTTTTTTATTTTTTATTATTATTAAAAAAACTCAAATGTCCTTATTATTAAAATATTGATATATCTTTAATATACAAATTTTAAACAAACATGAAAAAAAAATCTGATCGTTTGGATTTTGTTCCACCGAGATCATTGGCACACTAAAGTTAAGTTTCCGTTGGACAATTTTGTGATTTTTCTAGCATCATCCTCAATATTCTACAGATTAGAAATTCTAAATTATTGGTAAGTATTTATACTAATTATTTGTTGCTTTTAAATCATTTTCAGGGTTAATGTGTTTTAATAGCTTGTTGATTTTTTTACTATAGAAATGTCAAGTGAATAAAGTATATCTAGGGTGTGTTTGTTTGGGGGTTTGGATTTTGTATTGGGATTTAAATAGTAAAAAATTTGAATTTAAATAATTGTACGATGTGATATAAATATGTATTGATGTGATATTTTGAATGTAAAATTTATTTTTAATATAATATAAAAAAATAAAAAATAGGCGTTTGATTTGATTTTTTGGGGGGGAAAAATTTGTGTGAATAGTAAAAATTCACACAAATCCTTCATACAAACACACCCCTAGTATTCTTCTTGCTTGTAAGAATGACGAAGAGTTATATGAAACGTCGATAGAGTCAGATGTTACGTTAGTGAATATTTTTCTAAAACTAGAGTGAATATAGAAATACAGTAATAATAATTTAACGAGACTTCAATATAGGCCCTACTACAAAAGCTATTTGTTACTTTGGATTGCGACGAAGATGTTGCAAATATGATACCCATGCATATAGATTTGAAATTAACAATGGTTAATATGATAGTATTATCGAAAAATAAAGCAATCTGTTCAAATCATTATAGGTACTGTTTGTCCATCCAAATATATTATATATAGTGTGTTTATATTGATACATTTTATTAACTCTTTTTTTTTTTCTTGCAGAGGCATTAAAATAGAATCCAACAATTGAATGACAATTGTCCAATTGAATTCATTTTATTCCTTTTTTCGCTCTCTAATCGAGGATAATCAAATTTTTGCAGATGCCAATGATTTTTGTTATGCTATTGCCACTCGTTGTTCTTTCAAGTATAAAAAGAATGACGACAAGAAAATCATTATTATATGCAACAAGGAGGGTTGTGAGTGGCGTATATATGCCGTTTATCACGTAACATGGGTGTTATTTCGCACAAGTAAGTCCAACATGCAACATACTTGAAGATAATCTTCAAGATCAAGGCCATCCACGTGCCGACTCCCCATGGGTAGCCAAGATCGTGAAAGACAAGCTAAGGATAACTCCGTCATATAGGCCAGCTGATATAGTAAAGGACATACAAGCCGACTATGGAGTTAAAATTAGCTACAAGCATGCATGGTTAGCAAAAAGGATTGCTGTTCGAAGTATATATGGCGTAGAAGGTCATGACTTTGATAAGTTGCGATTCTATTGTAATACTGTAAAACAAACAAATCCTGAAAGCATTGCAGACTATGAGAAAGAGTCAATGTATGATAAATTTCACCGTCTTTTCATTTATTTCTATGCATGCCTAGTTGGATTTGTCCATAGATATAGACCAATTATTTTTCTTAATGGAGTGCACTTGAAGACAAAGTATAAAAGTTGTTTTCTAAGTGCAGTTACAGTTGATCCTAATGATGACTTATTCACAATTGCCTTTGTTGGTAAGTTGTTGCACAGTTAAATTTTATCTAATTATATATGTATTTTAGTTTTATTTAACATTCTTGTATATCAATGATGCAGTTGTTGATGTTGAAAATGATGAGAATTGTGATTGTTTTTGCGGAAAGTTGCGAGATGTTGAATCTAATATCCCAAGAGACTAAAATGAATTTACTTTTTTTTTCCGACCGTCATCCCAAGCTTATTAAGGCTATTTCGGCCATTTTCCCTTATAGCCATCATATTTTTTGTCTAAGACATTTGGTGGATAATTTAAAAAAATAGGTACATTCATTTATTAGCATTTTTTATGTACAATGTTTAGTTTGTTAATATGGTTTTTGTTTGCAGCAGATCATGCGTAAATATCCATAATATAATAAGAAGACATGGGAAACAGTCTTTAAAAAGACTGCATATGCTCCTACGAGGTTAGAGTACGAGCAGAATATTAGAAAAATAATTGAGGCAATGCCACTTGTAAGAGAATTCAGTGTCCAATCTCAACCACAGTATTGGGCTAATTCTTTGTTCCAAGAAAATCGTTGGGGTATAATTAACAACAACATCGTTAAGTCTTGGACAATTTGGTGAAATCAGCACGCTAAATGCCTCTTATTGGAATGGTTGACCTCATTCGTCAACAAATAATGAAGATGATGCACGAGGAAAGGGAGAGGTCACTACACATGTCGAGGTTGAGGTTGTGCCTCAAGTTAGAGACCAAGCTATTTAAGAACTATCTAGTTTCTCGATCGTTACGTGTGATGCGATCCTCTAACTTGGCGTTTGAGATCATAATTGATGAGGACAATTGTGCCGTGCACCTACTATGCAGAACATGCTCATGCAATAAATGGCAGTTGTATCATATACCATGCAAACATGCATGTGCTTGTATTGAAGAATTCAAAGCATCGATGTATGACTATTGTGATAATGTTTACTCTATGCATTTGTATAAAGAGGCATACAAAGTAGTAATCATCTCTATTCCAACCACTTATTTGAGTACGTGTGTAGTCGAAGGCGATGTGCAATAAGTGCTCCAACAGTGTGGCCTCAATCTGGAAGAAGAAACAAAAAGAATCCATCACAAGTGGATGTTCGTGTTAGAAAATGCAAAAAATTGTGGTAGAACCGGACACAACTGTCAAACTTGCAATGAAGCTCCTTTGTAGATCCCAATTGAAAAGTTCTTTTTTGTTATCTCTAGATATTCCTTGGTATAATTTAAAGTTGTAACATACTAAAACTTTAATCTTTGTTGGTAATGTATAAGGAAGCTCTTTCTTTAGTACACGAAGAATGAAGAACGTGTTTAACCCAAATTTGTATAGTTAATGTTAAAAAATTACTTGTTTGAACCTATATGCATCGATTACTCGGATGTACCAAACAACCGATATGCATATACACTGTAAATTTCCCTGTTTCCGTTAGGAACAAAATTTTTAAAAAATTTTCCTATTCTCAGCAGAAACAGGGTGTGTTTCCATGAGCTCGCGGGAATATAGCTTGTTTCTGCTGGAACATCTAGTAATTAACAGTCTGGCATAAAAATACTTGTTCCAATATATGCTCAATATGGGGTTAGGAGTGGAATTTCCATCACTGGGTTGGAGGAACCATGATAACATTAATTGCGAGAATGTTCTCTTGATGATTTTTATAAGAATTTTATATAATTTTAGATTAAATCTATATTTGATTGAGCCAAATTATCTTGTAAAATATGTTTTTTTTAACCTCTTTTGTATCATATGATTTTCTTTGCTATTTTAAATATTGCAGGCACATTTTGAAGATTAAAATGAGAAAAGAACTTCGCATGGGAAAGGTCTAACAATGTCGCGTGATCATCTATTGTGATTGTCATATTGCTAGCTTTTTTCTTCTTAAAAAAGTAGCCATTGCTGTAAGAGTAAAAAAAAAGAAAGAACTTAGAGTTCTAAATGTTGATCTGCATAAGAATGAATCTGAACCATTGAAATTAGCATACGTTGGATTGGATCAGCTGGCAAACTGTAACTGTCATCATTTTAAAAGCTCAGCCCCATGCCAATAAAAAGGGGTTCAACTAAGTACATTTGTAACAATATACTTTTGAGAAACAGTGAACATTTCCGGAGAGCTCTAGTATAAGAAACTCTAGAAGTCTCGCTCGGTGGTTGGCAGTACTTGTGACAGAATTTGCGTACTCGCTATCCATTCTATTTAATTCATACACTTAATTAAATCTACTGCTTCCATAGTATAATTGCAATATTCAATTCATAGTGTAAATGCGGAGTTCAATTTCTAGTTCATAAAATATCATGTTTATCCAGTTGCGAATGTCGAGAAGAACGACTTGCAAGAGATTTAAATAATAAATTCATAAATGGACCATCAGTGCAATAATTAAGTATATAGTTTGTCTTTTTGCGATTATCTCTAGGCCTAAGTGAACTATTGTGAATACGATGTGAGTAACGGATAAGAATCTTATGTGATCACCCTCACACAATATTCTCTTGTGCAAAGTATATATATATATTATGAACATATTTTCACTACAACTATCCATCATTACTCCCTCTTACTCCGAACTATTATATTCATATCCTTCCACACATTAATAGATATCTCATCTAACGCCATTATCGTGATCTCGCGAGAATTCATTTATGCGATGCAATTACCCTTCACTTCACTTTCCTTTCATACTTGCTCTATACTTCAATTTTTTACAACTTTAAATCTTTAATTTTGAACACATTTAAAGTTCAACTTCAAATTCATAAACTTGTGACATTATTCAACTAAATGTTTTTCTTCACATTAATACTCGGAGTTTGGTCCGACACTCACTTGTTAATATAAGAAAATAATCTTATTATTGGATTAATATTGTTGAACTACAATGCATAATTGCACACAAATCAAAATTAAAAGTAATTCTTTTAAAAATAAATCATCAAACCATGAGAGCCCACGTGAGCTATCTATAAAAGGACAAAAATGCTAATTCTGTCCAGTATGAGTATGGAGGATAGTGTGGGTGAGAGCGTGAAAATTGCCAACAAGAGAATTGTCAAAAAATGACAATTTTCTAAGAGAAAATGACGGACAAGAAGAATATGGATTAGTTTGCATATCAATAAACTCAGGAAAGTAAAATCCCACCCATAGATTTAAGA